CAATGCATCAAATCTATTCTTTAGATGGTCTCTAAATTCAGGAGGGATATATTCAAGATCATATTTTGGCTCTCCTGGACTTGTTTTAACTGTTTTTGCAGATGTAGTACAACTCAGGAATAATTTCAAATGGGGGAAAATTACTGTCCAAGGTTTCTTTTAGTCTTTGTGCTGACTGAAAAATGTAAAGATAAAATGATAAGAAAATGCCACTGAATTCCTAAGATCTAGAAGTCTATGTATCATCCCAGGGCTGATTTTTTTAAATAAATAATCCACTCACAGTTTCCTATTTGGTACTCCACATGACCGTATATACATTTGTAATACATATGTGTGTGTGTGTGTGTGTGTGTGTATAAATACCTGGTTGAGTAGCCGCTCGAAGAGCATTAGGCAGCCGGTTCACCTTCCTCATGATTTCTTTCCATGACTTATCCACCTGAAGGAACATCTTGGCTTCTGCAGGCAGCTGCCTCTGAATATCTGGAGCATTAAAAATGCTTTCTAGGTAGAGCCAGTTTCTCTGACAGTTTAGCCATTCTTCCTAGGAGAAAAATATGGACATTATCAGATTTTAACTCCGCAAACATATTATAACAAACATAATTATCTGGGGATTCACTATATCTTTCTTTGGAGACCCTTTTATGGCTCCTCACAGTTTCTTTGCAATGAAATCTCATTAAATAGTCTAAGACTCACCTCAGCCTAATTACAGCCCACTATCCACTGAGTAGTTATAATTAATCTGCTCCGTGGTAACCAGAATGGAATCAGAGAAACCCAGAGGAAATATTCTAAAGGGAAGCTAGATGCCTACTTAACAAAATCTGAAGGGTTGTGGAAGTGGTGAGTTTGGTGGTTATTTCCAAACATAAAAGATTATCATGAGGAAAATTTTGATTTTTTTCTTTAATTTTTCTATATTCTTCCCTCTCCCTTTTTTTTTGAAATACATTTGTAAAAATTTAATTCTTGGACTTCTGGTAAGATGGAGGAATAGGCAGACAAGCTGCACAGACTCTCTTCAACAAAGAAAAGAGAAAGCAATTGACAGAGGTACAACAGATAATCCTGGAACCCTAACCTTTGAAAGGAAGTATGCAGAAGTAGATTAGGCACCAACTAGTAGAAAAACCTGAATGAAAACAGAGTACAGAGATGGTTGGAGCAGTGGACTGTCAGCTACTCTGACGGGACCAACAGCCTGAATATTTCCAAGTGGTGTTGGGATCTGAGAATTGACCTAAAGATCAGCCCTGTATGCCAAGGGATGCAGAGATGACTGTGCTGGTGGCCTTTGAGTAGGAAGGGAAACAACAAGGAGGGAGACAACCTGAGTGTGGACTTTCTGCTGTCCAGAGGATGCAGCCATTTTGATTGTTTATAAGTGGTAGCCATTTTGGAAATTTAAAGTGACTGAGAGCGCAGCTATTTAGAATGTTTCCAAGCAGCGGTGGCCATTTTGGATATTTCAAGTGACCGAGAGCACAGCCATTTTGAATGTTTCCAAGCGGCGACCATTTTGGATACTTAAAGTGACCAAGGGTGGAGCCATTTTGAATGTTTATAGGCAGAGACCATTTTGGATATTTAAAGTGACTGAGGGCACAGCCATTTTTAATCTTTACAAGTGGCAGTCAGTTTGGATTTTAAAGGAGCAGCATTCTCATTTGGATTCCAAGGATCTAAGCATAGGCTCTGTTTGCCAAGGACGTCAGGGACATATGGGAGGCTGACACAGGAAAGGAGACAGGTGCTGAGTGTATAAGTGCTGCCAACTAGTGAATAGAAGCACACAGCATAGTACCCTGCTTACACAGATAACATACAAACAAAACAAAGAAAACAAAAATCATGGGAAAGTCACTTCAACATATAATCATCAATTAAATATAAACATAAATATGTTACAATGCCTCAGAGACAACAGACCGTCACAGTGCACATAAAGAAGGAAGATAAAGCAGGAGAAACAAGGGACCAGGATGTGAACCAAAACACATCCCTGAGGAAGACACAGCATTGGAACTCCTTGATAAGGAATTCAAAAGAATTATATTTAGATATCTTCAATGAATTGAGAGACAGATCAAGGAAAACACTGACAAAATTGAGGAAAACACAGAGAAAACCTTAGAACAATTTAGAAAGACAATACAAGAACAAAATGAGAAAATAAATGAAAAATTAGAAATGATTCAAAATCTACACATAGAAATCCAGAAGATTAATACTAAATTTTCAGAAATAGATAAGATATTGAATGTGCAAAGGAGTAGAATTTAATCAATGAAAGACAGAATTAGTGAGACTGAAGGTAAATATCTCAATACTTCTTTAGCAAGTGATAAATCAGAAAAAAGATCAAAACAAAATGAAGAAAGCCTAAGGTTCATGTGAGATACCATCAAAAAGAATAATGTATGTGTAATCGAATTCCAGAACAGGAAGAGACAAATAAAACCACAGAAAAAATTGTTGAAGATTTATTGCAAGAGAATTTTCCTGGTATGATGAAAAATGAGAATACATCCATTCAAGAAGTCCAACAAACACCAAACAGGATAGGTCTCAAAAGAAAATCACCAAGACATGTCATCATCAGACTCACCAAACCAAAGACAAAGAAGGAATCCTGAAAGCAGCATGGGAAAAACAAAAAGTTACCTACAAGGGGCAACCAATAAGACTAAGCTTGGATTTCTTGGCAAAAACCATGCATGTGAGAAGACAATGGAGTAGTATCTATAAAGCCCTGAAAGAGAAAAATTTCCAACCAAGAATTATGTACCCAACAAAATTGTCCCTCAAATATGATGGTGAAATTAGGACATTTCCAGATAAGTAGAAATTAAGGAAATTTGTTAAATCCAGACCAATCTTACAAGAGATGCTAAAGGGAGTCCTTTGGAAAGAGAAGCACCAATAGCCAACAACAACTGACCATTAACACACATGATGGCATAATCCAGAAACCAACCCAGCTATGAAAGTATCTAAAGTAAATTAAGCCTACAAGATTGCCAACAGGGAACCAGAGACATAAATTGACAAATGAAGATAACTACAAACCAAAAAGAGGGAATAAACTATCATTACAGAACTTCTAGATGGTAGGGATGTCAAGACAACTATTAGATAGACCAGACTGTTCTAAATGTGGAAGAAACTATAAATTTCAGGGTAACCTCAAAGAATAATGATAAACCTTCACATCAAAATAAAAAAAGAGGACCAGAACAAATATTTAGCAAATATTAAAACAACAGCAACAAAGAAAGTGATAACACAATTCATAAACAAAACGAGCTTAGCACAGAAAATTATATGGAACAAAGAAATCAACACCATGAAAAAGCACATAACAAAAATGACAGCAACAAATTCATCCTTGTCAATAATTACATATCTGGCAAGATATCTAAGATTTATAGGAAACTTTAATGCCTCAACAGCAAAGGAATTAATAATCTAATTGAAAAATGGACAGAAAACATGAATAGGCACTTCAACAGGGAGGATATTCAGGTGGCCAGCTAATACATGAAGAGATGGTCACAATCATTGGCCATCAGAGATGAAAATCAAAACAAAAATGAGATAACATCTCACACCAGCACTGATGGCAAGGTTCAACGAGACAGAAAATAACAAATGCTTGCAGCGATGTGGAGAGATTGGGACTCTCATATACTGCTGGTGGGACTGTGAAGTGATATAACTACTGTGGAAAGCAGTATGGTGGTTCCTTAGAAAGCTGGAATTGGAGATACCATTTGACCCAGCAATCCCATTACTAGGTATATATCCTAGAGAGGTGAGAGCCAGGACAGGAACAGATATATGCACACCCATGTTCACCACAGCACTATTTACAATAGCAAAAAGATGGAAACAACCTATCTGCCCATCAGTGGAAGAGTGGATGACCAAACTATGGTACATATATGCATAATGGAATGCTATGCAGCACTAAAGAATAATGTAGAGTCTGCAAAACACCACATAACATGGATGAACTTGGAGGACATTACGCTGAGTGAAATAAATCAGTCACAGAATGACAGATATAGTATTATTCTGTTGTTGTGGAGGGTCAAGAAAAGGTTTATATATGGAGGGAAACTTTCTTTGTTGGTTGCCAGGGGTGAGAGGGGCAGGGAGGGAACACTGCAAAAAAAAAAAAAAAAAAGACACATGTCACTTTAGTTTTGTGTATCTCACTGTACATTAATTATATTTCAATAAAATTCATTTCAAAAATTAATTCTTTCAAAAAGAAATATGATTAAATTTCTTCAATCATAAAAGTAAAATCCTATAGTCATGGAACATATAGAAAGCACCGAAGACTGGGAGGAAGATCACTCATTGTCCCTCCTCTCAGAGACAATCACTGTTCATTAAAGAAATGAGAAACAGTTTCAAAATTAACATTCCTAGAGCTGATTCCTCTGTGCTCCTACCATTGTAAGTTCACATTCAAGAAAGAATTACATTTTTCTTTAGATTTTGGGGTACTGCCTAAGCCTTAATGTCACACTCTATGGTTTACCTAGTTCTCACACTTTCATTAAGTTAATTCCCTGGGTCCCCACTATCCTGCACAGAGTTCTTTTAAGGACTATTTTTGGAAATGTATCCTTGAACTTTGATCCGTAGTTCCTACCTTCATAGGGCTTAGCTATCAATCAAAAAGCTGGACTAACCAAAAAACACCAAACCCACTGCTGTGGAGTCAGATTTGACTCATAGCAACCCCTCCTTGGGTTTCTGAGGCACTATCACTACAGAAATAGATTGTCCAACCTTCCATCTGAGAAGTGGCTGGTGGGTTTGAACCTCCAGCCTTCTGGTTAGCAGTCACATGCCTTAGGCACTACGTCACCAGAGCTCCCAGAAAGCTGGACAGTGGTCAGATAATATGGTTTTCATTGAATAGGATAGATTCCTGAAAAAGTTCTCTATGAAACAAAGCTGGAACTAATTATTTTTTATCATTTACTGCCTGTATCATTTCACAGACAACTTTCCATATTAGAATATTTAGGAACTTAAACATAATGTAATCAAGCTAAAAATCCAAGAAAGAGATTGGATAGAAATAATGTGACATCAGGGCAAGTGGGCTCTTTCTTTCTTTCATTTTTTTTTTTTTTCTTTTTCACTTAGAAGAAACTAGGCGCTCTAGTAGCATAGTGCACTTGACTGCTAACTAGAATGTTGGTGGTTCAAACCCTCTAGTCACTTCTTGGAAGGAAGATGGGGCAATCTACTTCCATAGAAACACAACTTCCCTCAGAAACCCAAGGAGGGGTTGCTATGAATTGGGTCCGACTCAATGGCACATAACAACAACAAAAACATAGAAGCATCTGAGGTGGAACCTCAGATAAAAAGGAGGTGTGTACCACAAGAAAGAGTTCCAGAGAGATTTCAAGCAACAGTGAATTTTTTCTACTAGATATAATGTTGTTGTTGCTACTCTTAAAGTTGCCCCCAAAACTGTAATGAATACTTGTTTTACCAAGAGATTCTCTTCCTTGCTGAATTGATGCAGCAAGTGCTCATGTTGAGGAAACTCACATGACAAACAACTGCAGGCAGCCTCTGGGAACTGAGGCTGACCTCTGCCTGACACCCAGCAAGAAATTGAAAGTCTTAGTCCCACAGATGCAAGGAAATGAATGCTGTCAATAACCTGAATAAGCATGGAAGCACATTCTTTTACACTTGAGCCTCTGGTGAGAAAGGACTCCTGGCGGACACCATGATTATAGCTTTATGATACCCTAAGCAGAGGATGCAGTTAAGACATGCTCCAACTCCTGACCCAAAGAAACTGTGAGATAATAAATATATGTTGTTTTAAGCCACTAAGTTTGTGGTAATTTATTACACACCAATAGATAACTAATACAAGGGTAATGGTAATAATATTAAGCTCTACAATCATGTAAAGAAAAGCTTACTACATTGCATTTTCCTTACATTTAGAACATAATAAAATGTCAACAATTAAACCTTAAAATTCTAAATTATCTGACACTTACATTACAAATCAAATCATTTCTAAAGGTTTTTGTGGTTCTCCAGTTTTTCTATGAATTAAAATTATCCTTACTCACCAGTGTTTGATTAAATAAAGCAAGCTGTTTCTGCCACTCATCCACTCGTGATTTAAGTGGACCAATGTAACGTGATGAGGCAATGGTTGCAATGTTGATGGTGCTGTCATCAAGAAGCACCTTTAAAGAAAGGAGAAGAAAATACATGCAACACCATGTGTCTGTGTTCTCAGTCATAACTATAGCTATTTAGTCCAAAAAGTCTATTTAAAAGTCAGCTTTTTGAATCAATAGCTTAGATCCACTTACTCTTTCCTAGCTTCATCTCCTTCTTATCTCCTTCATTGGCCCTTACAACCCACTATCATGCTCTCTCAAAGATCACCAAGGGATTTCTGACTGCCACATCTCTGCTGCTCTTGTCATTATTAATGCCTCAATTTTTTGCTTGGTTTAGCACTCTTCTCCCCTCTCCCCCATTATTAGATAACTGGTACCTTCTTTTCACCATTTGGTCACCCTGACCTTCACTTCCCCATATTTGCAAAATTAGCTGTCTTCTACCCAATGAAATACCTTTTCTCTCAACTAGTGTATGAGAGGAAATATGAACTCATTCAGATCAGACTCTGAATGGCTACAGACAATTCTCCCTTCACTCTCATCCCTACTACTCCCTTTACACCATAGCAACTCTCAGACTCTGAATGGCTATAGACAATTCTCCCTTCACTCTCATCCCTACTACTCCCTTTACACCATAGCAACTCTCACAAAACATGTGCATTTTTAAAAGTGTGTTTGTTAACCTAAAGGATTTTAATTGCTCTGTTTAAATTATAAGCTTCTTGGGAGCAGAAATCCCATCATATGGCATATATTGACCTCATCCTGAGTGACCTTTACCTTGAGTCTGCTCTCCCATTCACTGAGAGGTATCTGATCTCACTGTTCCAGCCTATACTTGTGAAATTTCATTTCCAAAATTTGGTCTGGGTACACCCTACTGGCCAGGGTTTTGCCTTCTCAATTGGGGTATAAGACTTCCTCTACTAAACAAATGTGCCTTCAGACTTTCTTAAGTCATTAACAATATTCCAAATAAATGGATTAAATTACCTTCTTTTGTGATGATAGAGTATGGCCATCTACTTGTAAGCTCAATAAATTAAAGTGAATTGTGATAGTTGGAGCTCTGTGCCAACTTGGCTGGACATTTTCTGTGGTTTAAGCAATTGTGATGTGGGTTGTTCCAATGACGGGATCAGATGTATATGTTTTGAGCAGCCAATTCATTGAAAGGGAGTTTCCCTAGAGGTGTGGCCTGCTTCCAGTGCATTTATGGACATCCTGGGAAAAGAGACACTCTTCTGTGGATCAGGATCCTGTTGTGTCACCTACAACTGTCCGTGAGCCTGGAGATCTTGGATCCGTCATTCGTTGGAGTCAACAGCCATTATACTGCCTGCCAGCCTTGAGCTCGTCAGCCCCTGCAGCTGCATGAGTTGGGAAAAGCCTCCAGCTTGACGTTTGATCCAAGAACTTGAGCCTTGCCAGCTTCTATAAGTGTGTGAGCCATTTCCCATTTCCCTAAGATAAATTTCTCTTTTTTTATATGTATATATAAGCTTTAGGAGCTCTGGTAGCATAGTGCCTAAGGCACTTGACTGCTCACCAGAAGGC